GACCGTTAGATTGTGGGGAACCTGGGCTAGAATGCGTGATGGTTATGCCCCAGGCAGTCACAAATTGTTTCATCGTGTGGCTTGGAAATGGCACATGATTAGAGACAATCTGTTTAGGTATGCCATGATGAGCAAACAACAGACTTCATTTTGGCTACTACCATGCCAGCTGTTTTGTCTGGCAGGTGCAAAACTTCAGGGTAATAGTTGACTATAATCAAATAAGACTGTCCCCGTAGGTCAAAAATGTCCACTGCCAGTTTTAGCCAAGGCAGGTCTGGGATCTCATGTGAGATCATGGGCTCTTTTTTATTACTGGGTTGGAGCTCTTGACAAGGTGCACAATTTGCAATCCATTGCTCGATGTGGGCATTCATTTTAGGCCAATACATGATTTGTCAAGCTCACACTTTTGACCTTTGTATGCCTCGATGGGGCGAGTGAAGCAATGTCAACATGTTGGTCCTCACACCACTTGGAATGATTATTTTCAGCCCAGGCAAATCATCCTGAATCTGGATTTGGTTTCTGAGAGGCCAGTAGAGCTTTAGTTCGGGTTTAACTTTTTGCCTGCTTGCCCATCCATTAAGATGCTGTACTCTCAGGGCTTGTAGTTCCTTGTCAGACTTCGTGTGCTCCTGTAACTGCTGGAGTAACTGGTCACTGAGTGGCTCTGTTTCCATCAGACTGTGAATCACCTTTTCTGAGTGGAAAAGATCAGGTTCAGGAGGAGGAGTGAGCACTGTGGCTCTAGAAAGTGTGTCAGCCACTAACATGTCTTTGCCTTTGGTATAGTGAATCTGGATGTCATATTTTTGGAGCTGTAACAGCATACTCTGTAGCCGTGCCAGAGCCCTTCCTATGGGCTTTGCAAAAATTGCTTCCAGGGGTTTGTGGTCCGACTGGACCCGTACTTGGGTGCTATACACATATTGGTGGAACTTTGTCATGGCGAAGACAATTGCGAGTTCTTTTTCAATCTGAACATAATTTCTCTCAGATTGTGTTAGAGCCCTCGAAGCTTATGCAATTGGTTGATTCTGCTGAAACAGACATGCCCCTAAGTTGTCTTTGGATGCATCAGCTTGGATTTCCAGCTACTCTGCTGGGTTGAAGTACCTGAGCATAGGTGCTGTTGTGATGGTTTGCTTGAGCGTATCCAGGGCTGCCTGATGCTCAGGTCCCCATTGCCAAATAATGTCATTCCTGAGAAGCACTCTCAGTGGGGCTGTCAGGCTTGACTCATGTGGAATGTATTGTGCCGAGTACTGAATGATTCTGAGGAGTCTCTGAAGGCCTTTTTGTCTGCTGGAGCGGGCATCCTGTTGATGGCTTCCACTTTGTCATCTTTTGAGAAGATATGGCCCATATACCAAACACTGTCGACAAAAAACTATTTTGTCCTTATTAAACTTTACTCCTTTCAGACGTGCTCTCTCCAGGACTTATTTCAGGATAGTGTCATGGTCCTCTTTGGTAGCCACTGCAATGAGCATGTCATCCGTGATTATGTGGATTCCTGGAATGTCACCAAAGCACTCATAATTCTTCTGTTGGAATACTTCGCTAGCTAACTTAACACCAAAGGGAAGGCAACTGAAGTGGTACTGCTCCATGGGGTGTTAAAGGTACACAACTCTGCTGATTCCTTGTCCAATTTGACTTGCCAGTAGCCATCCTTTTCATCAAGAATGGTGAACAGCTTCTTACCTGACAAGCTCTTCCGCACATCTTCTACAGTGGGAATTGAAAGGTGCTGCCTCAGCACTGCCTTGTTGAGGTCTCGTGGATCTAGACAAAGTCATAGTGAACCATCCTTCTTTTGTGTGATCACAAGGCTATTGACCCAGGGCGTGGGTTGAGTTACCTTTGTAATGACTCCCACAGCTTCCAGCATTTTGAGGGCAGGCTTCAACTTGCCTAGGGTTGCATAGGGATGGGGTACTCACTCAGACCTCCATGCTTTTGGGGTTCTGTCCTTGAGTCACCATTCAGCAGAGACCGGTGAGGTGGTAAACAGCTTTATCTTTATTAGGAACAGGATTAATCAACTCATACGCTCACAGCTTGCAGGGAGAACTACAACTACCCACCACCACAAACCATACCCACAGGGCATCAGGGGGAGAGACTGAGTCATCCCACTGCTGGCCCCTTAAACATATATTCCATATACCACACACATGCATCTCAGTCCCTTGGTCTGTGACATGGAGAAAAGAATTGTCTCTGAAAATTCAGAAGGATTTGATTGGGGCAGTTGAATGCAGTTTATAATTCTCAAATTTTGATCCATTTTTGGAGTACCTTTCTCAGGGAACAAGCCAGTGTACTTTCAGCATATTGTATAGTGATCTATTTTGGGAGAGGTAGAAATGAAGGAGTTTGCTATTGTCGAGAAAATCCAAGGCCTGAATTCCTTTAGTTCAGGGGTTGGCAATTATTTGGGACCAGGGCCACATAGCGAGTTTTGATGAGCTGTGGCAGGCTGGGTCAGCACTGCACCCATCCTCCCCACTCTTTGTGCAACAACTCATCAAAACTCCCTACATGGGATGGGGCCATAGGCAGGTGGGTAGGTGGGGAGTGATGTTTGGGAGCAGGATGGGCAATCCACTCCCTGCACACCCCTGCCTGTGGGGGCTGTGTGTGCGGGGGTTGTGGGGCATGTGCACATGTGTGTATGTGTGTGGGGAGGGGGGCCTGCCTGGGTGCTAGGTCTTGGGAGCTGAGAATGAGGGGAGGCAGGGAATGAGGGGAGGCAGGAGGGTGTGGGGTTGTGTGCAGCAGAGCTCATCTGGGTAGTGCAGTCTGCAGTGCTCTGCATGGGGCTACTCCCACCGAAGGCAGCCTGTACTGCAATTTACTTGCTGGCCCTGCCCTGGCCAGCATGCAATTTACTGGCTGGGCTGCTCCTGGTGTGGCAGCTCCTCTCATCTCTAGTAGTGGTTCCTCCTCTTGCTCCTACCCCTGCTGCACTGCTCTTGGCAGGGGGGGGAGCTTCAGCCAGGCAGCTCTAGCCTCAGCATGTGGGGCTCTGGCTTCAGCTCCAGTTCCCAGTTGCCTTCCACATGCTCTGCCCACCCACAGGTGGCTGCTCATTGCACCGAGTGGGCAGTGTGGGTGGAAGGTGGCTGGGAGTTGGAGCCAGAGCCTGGCATGCTGAGACAGGAGCCTCCCATCTGCAGCTGCCTCCCTGGCCCAGAGCAGTGCAACCAAGGTAGGAGGAGAAGCTGCTACTGGAGGTCAAGGGAGCTGAGCAGCACCCACAGGGCTGCAACCACACTGGGAGCATTCCCACCAGAAGCTGTGCGCGCTTGCTGTGGCCAGGGCTGGCAGACACTGGCAGCAGCACAGTGCTGGCTGCCCCAGGCCGGGCTTGGCCCTAGGTGGAACGCCACAGGGACAGCTGCAGCTGCAGGCTAGATCCAGTCAATTGATGGGTCCCCTCCACGGGCTGGATAAAGTCAGTTGGTGGGCCAGATCTGGCCTGTGGGCCATGTTTTGCCAGCCCTCCCTCTAGCTACCAACACCACATGTGGCCTGTAAGGCAGCAGCTCCATCAAAAGAAGCGATGTGACTTTGCATGGTGTTTATCCCTTCTCTGCTGAGGGCCACATAGCATACCCTCAGAGATGATTGGCACTGGTTACTGTAATCCAAGCCTGTTAAGGCAGTATCTGCTAACTGATCTGCTGCAAAGCCCTGGCAGGTAATGACAAAGTATTTCTGCAGGTAGAACACCCCAGGATGGCAGTACAGTAAATACTCCTGGCTCCTACTTCCATCTTAATTTCTCCTGGTGCAGAGAAGTGTGTACACAGCTTCATATGTTTGCAAGCACGGGTGGATCTGGAGAGGAGGGTGGAGGAAAGGGAGTTTCCCTTTGATTCTTGCTCCACCCAAACTGCCTGGGAGGGGCATCAGCATTTCTATTGAGGCAGTGCTGATGGAGTTCATTGACATCATAGCTCATTATCGTCTCTTGATTCCTGTTAATTTCTCTGCACTCCACAGTTGTTAATGTTCATCTATCCTGTTTAATGGTTTTAATATTTCACTATTCAAATTATCCTTTTTCCTGAGATTTGGTAATGTGTCTCTTCTATTTCACATCTCTAGTTGTGGACTTAGCTCTAGTTAATAACTTTAGATCAGGTGTGATAATATTAACTCATGTATAGAAATGACTGACAGTGTTGGAGGTACTCTCAAAACAGGAAGGCTACATTTTGTTTTATGGATTTCAATAAGCAATGTACTTTTAACTACAGCAGTAATGTTACAGGACCCTATGACTATTTTGCCTAGTTTGTTGTCTTTTTTAAACTTTATATATACTCTAGCAGATAAATGCACATTCCAATAGCTGCTTTTGCTTTGATCTTAAACTGAATGATATAATGCTAGCTCCCCACTGTGTTTGTAAAGATTTTAGTTTCTCTTTAACTGGAGGAAAATATGTGTTTGTGTTATATGTGATGATGCACCACACCATCTTCACTGCCCTTTCCTAAATCCTAGATCTGACTATTTTGTAAGGGTGAGCAGAGCCGCTTAGTTCTACTATGCTGCAGAACTTTCCATGGGAATAAGAATCTGTTAGAAAAAAAAGTGAATAATCTGTGGAGCTTTTGGATGAATGGAAAAGGAAGCATGCCAAGTTCTCTTCAAGTCAGTGTGAGTTTTACCACTAGCACAGAAATAATTCCACATAATACTCCTGTCCTCACTGTGTGCTCAGCAAATGAGATGGACGTGCAAAGATTTATATACGCCAGCCACTGTCAAAAAATCAGAGAGATTTATTACGTGAGGCCAATTTCTATGGAGAAAATTGTGATGGCATTTTGACCAATCTAACCTTGTATTTTTGCCTGTTCAGCAGCTGCATAGTAAGAATATTACTGTTTGTACTGCAGTAGTGAAACTGGAGGCTTGTTCCAATAGAGGCTGAACCTGAAAACAGCAAGAGATTATCTCGTCACCAAAAAGGTTAGAAGGTAGACTTAGAAGATGGGGAGAGAGAGAATGCTGAATCAAAGAAACCCAGTTTTTCATATCCTATTTTAAGGCAGGGGGAATAGGAACACATGTAGAAGTTAAGGAGCGCTGTTGAAGATATTGTTAGAGTCCTCTGTGGTATACAAGCCAAAGTAACAAGAACCACAGTTGCTACCACTCTGATGCTGAGTGCCGCTAATGATTGTTGCTTTGGCTGTTGCCTCTGGGGGTCACCACCGCCAGGGGTCACCACTACTCCTCCACACTACCAGGGGTCTCTGCTGTTCATTCATTGTTCCTTTTCACGTTTCCTATGCAAACCCCACTTTTTTAGACCCTGTCCTAGTTCGACAGCAAGCTCAGGGATTTTAAGCACTTTTAGCTACAGTGAATATCAGATTTCTACCTGAACTTGCTATGGGAATTTGTGTTTACCAGCCTTTTTTTCTTGAGGAGTAGATGAGTGACAAAGCTATTCTTGGAATAACTTCTGTCCAAAGTTTCTTCTCCTCCTCACATACTCTTTGTACTAAAACTAAGGGCTACCCTGTAATCACATGCGTTAACCTTAACCAGTAAACCCAAGCCCACAAACAATGAAAACAGGCAAAATAGATAGCTCTACAGGTCCAAACGTGTAGTAATGAGGGTATACAGGGAAAGAATACACAAAGTTACCTTTATAGAACATAACTGTAGCTGAATATGCACAACATAACCAGGATTATATTTAGATCTGAGCAATTGCCTATGACAGGCAAGCAAGAGCTCTGAAAACCGATGTTCAGGGGGTCTAAACAAGGTACTTTGTCAGAGTTGTGGGGAAAGATTGGTCAATTTGTGTTAGAGTTGTTCATCTAGATAATTTCAGAAGGTAAAGTACACAGGCACATATCACTATATAGGTTTCTGCTATGTGTAGTGAAATTTGCATTCCCCCCACATTTGATTGCAGTTGTAGTGATACTGTAGATCAGCTGGTAGCATTTTTAACCACTGTCACTAATCCTACTTCAGAGTAGATTCAGATGTCACAGTGTTTCAAACAGCATAGGACATTGACACTTTACAGCTGTGTCATACCTGTAATTTAAACTCAGGTCTTCAGTCCTACTCCTAGGTGCACGCCACTAGACTACACCAAGGCCACTGTTGGAAACATGAATGAACTGTAAAAATATTTTTAAAACAATAAAGAAATGGATTGTTTCTCTTCTATTGAGAAAACGTTGGCATTTAATCCTCAGGCACTACCAAAAATTGTACTGTGTATCAAGATAAGATATTATGCCAAATTCCTCTTATCAAAATAATTTCATGTATTCTAACACTTCGCAAGAATGTTTCAGAAGAAGCTAAAACCAGATGTTTCATGACATAAATATAAACAGTACAAAAGAACATGCTTATATATTTTTCTCTTCTTTCCTTGTTACTTCTGCTGAGCAGTATACCATAGAGTAATGAAAGGTTATGCCAAGGGCTTTACAGAAAATGTTCGGCTTCAAATATTGTCTAAAAATGGAAACATAAACACAGTTTTAGAAGTACATGTCTCCAGGGGGCAGGGTGGGTGGCCCCTAATGGCACACAGGGCCTCCTTGCGCAGGGTATCTTTCATATGCAGTTATTTGGAGGACAACATGCATTGTTTGTAAATTAATTCTGTAGCAGAAAATTGGTTGAAAGGGTGAAAACCACAAAAATGCAAGGAAAAATGTTTTGCAATACTGCCCGTATTCTTTTGAACTAAAATTAACTTAATAGTTACAGTAGCATGAAAGTTTGTCTGGATACAAGAGAAAGTAGTAATGTAGATTAAAATGTGAGTAACTTGATAATATAGATATATATTTAACTTTGAATAATGAATTCCTTGCACACTCCAAAACCCTCTAATTTCAGTGGGATTTCTGAATGAGTGAAGGGTATGCCATTGGGATAAGAGGCACTCAGAAAATGAGATAAACATGTATGCAGCACTATGTGAATGTGTATGGCATGTAGTCCTGATATGGATTTTTTAAACTAGCTACTGAAAATTAAATATTGGGAATTTGAGATGGTAATACAATATATTTTTCCATAGGTTTTTAGCTTCTAAATATTGACATTTTCTATTGTTGATGGTTTTGTTTTTTGAACAGGCACCTCTGTTAGATCATTGCTGTTATTTTGAATTAATACACTCTCAGGCTGCAGGTATGATTTCTATGGGTATAACTAACATTCAGAACTACCACTGAAGTTCTGTGCTTGAAGAGAGTGCAGGAGCAACAGTTAACATGGCCATCCTCATGGGGCATGTCCAGGCGAGCAGGGATGTTTGTTTCCCAGGGACCAGTAGCAGTGGCATACCTTGTGCCACTGCTACTTGTCTTTGAGGGATGTCCATGCCACAGGTGCTCTGGCATGCAGAAGGTTACCCTGGGTGGGGTAGAGGAGGACCCCAGCTTTACCTGGTTAGGTCACTGTTCTGTAAGGCAGGAGAAATGGAGTCATATTTCCCTCAGGCAGAGGAGAGTTAAAACCGGGTCTCCCACATCCTGGTGGACTGACTTAGCTAATGCTGAGCTTTGAAGAAAGCAGAAAGATATCATCTCCTTCTGGCTCTAGCAGTTTTGTGAATATAGTCCTGAAAGATTTTCTCCCCAAAATAGACGCACAGTAAAGTCAACTTGAATTCATGAATGGTTTGAGGATGACCAAAACTTAATTATGCAGTGAGCAAACGATTCACCAAATCCAAATAAGCAAACAAAACCCACCCTGCCCAGCTAAAATGCACAGCAATTTAAAATAAAGTCTGAGGAAACAATGAACAGAACTCTTTCCTTAGACAGCTTTCAGCTTGACTTTTGTAGCTGCTAGTGCTGTAAGACAACATGCCTTTAAAGTTTATATAGTGTGCCAGGTACACTGTGACTTGGAAGCAAACATCAATGATGTTTCACTGGCTAGGTCCAAGGATCACTAGCCCAGGTAGATGCAGGTGGTATATCAGACATGTGGCTAAGAAAAGAGGTATTTATCTCAAGTGGGTAGAAAAATGGTGAGGAGTTCAGAAGTCCTAGGTTTTGTATCTTGGTTTCCACCGTAAGTAGCAATAATCTATTTGGGGTTTTAGAAACAGCAGTGCATCAGAGCAGGGTTTGACAGCCTTTGGCTGGCACAGCCAGATGCTTGTGACCTGGCCACAGTAGCATAACTGGGGTGGGGGTGGGGGAAGATGACTGCAGTCACTGCCTTGGTGAGAGGGTACAAAAATAGATTGCTACTATGGTTGGTGTGGTTGCATCCATCACTGCCCCATTGTCACTGATGGTCCAGGCACAGAGCTGTGCTGCTGTACTTCTGCCTGGCTATGGCTGCAGGCTAGAAATCTCCACCCCTTAGAGTGGTTAGTTGCCTGCACTCACCTTTGCTGCAGATACCTGACTCCTTTTCAGGGAGGGATGTGCAGATGCTGCAGAGCAGCAGGCTCCAAAGTGGAGGGGAACACTGTGGGGGGATGGGTTGTGCAGATCACCTGAGCCAGACGCTGATTCCCGTGTGACAACTGATCCCCCATGCTAGATCAGACTTTCTTGGACTGGATTGGACCTATTCATGGCCTGGATCTGGCCTGTAGACCATAGGTTGGCAACCCCTGCATTAGAGGGTGAAGGCTCCTTGAGCCAAGTGCCTGGGCTGCCCTTTCTGGTTCAATCTCTACTAGGGACAAATAGGACCTTGCAGGTTTCTTGGACTGGATAGATCGGTGGTATGTGTCAGTGGGACTGGTCTGCATTGGCTCCCTGCACAGTCTCTGCTGCTTTCTCTAAGGTCCTGTATAGACCTGACTGGGTCAGGCATCTGCTAGTTGCAGCCCTTTTACATCTAGTATCAGCTCTGTATCTTTCTCTACAGAGGGTTACTTCCTGGCTTTGAATCTGCTTTGTGGTTTCTGCCTCCTGCACCCTGCCCCTACTATTCGGGAGAAGGGGAGGTATCTCCCTGTCTTCCTTGGAGGATCATATATTAATGGAAAGGTAAAAGCCTGCCAGATAGACTCATTAGTAAATCTAAAGACACATGAAAGAGTGTAATACAGTACATATAACAGTGAGCTGTCATGGCTGTGTATTGATTTTTCCAGAAGTGTTTACAAATTATAAAAACTTTTTGAAATATCCTAGTTCAGCATGCAGCGTGCTTTGTAGCTGTCCTGAGCAGGAAGGGCCATAATGGACACAACATCTATTGCATGGTTGCTGGTGACAGTGATTGACTGAGGTGGTTTCTTCTGCTCCTATTGGAGGACTATATATTTGTATTCCTATGTTCCTATCAAAAATATTTATTTGGTTTGGCTTAGACATGCATTCATGAAGAAGTTGTGCCTGTTCTCAGCCACAGATACTCACTGACAATTCTTAAGCATAAAGCAATGCAGAGGACCCTGCCTTTAACTCCTCTGCTAACTCCTCTTCATCCATTAACCATCTTATCTAAAACATGAAGTCAAAGTTAGTTATCTCTTTTTTAAATTTTAGAACAGTTATGTTTATTATTTAATACTGAAAGCCTACATACGTATCTACTTCATGTAGAGTTAGAGTCAGCATTTATGGACACAGGTGTAAAGATGATGTTATCCATTAGGTCTGTAGAGTTCTTCTGGATTTTAACTAATATGATAGAGCTAATTCTGGCCCACAAGCAGTGGTCAGGGATCAAATCTGTAGGCAAACAAACATATTCTACTATAACTGAATTTTCACTCTTGCTTTGGTTTTCAGTGGGCATGTCTACGTGAGACACTATTGTACAGTTGTTACTGCACATTTATTTAGTATTTGTATTAGCAAGTGCAAAATAAATGTGCAGTAATTGGAGTTACTTCACAGTAGTGCCAGGGAATGTCTTTTAGATGATGCTACTGTGCAGTAGCCTAATAATAATGTGTAGTAGCATATTAGCTCTGTCTGTGCTCTGATACGCTGCTGCGCAGTATTTTTTGGCTACTGCACAGTCAGCATCTCATGTAGACACACCCACTCTCTTGCTTTGCTTTTCAGTCGCCTAAAACTGATAATTTTGAAAGAGGCAGGAGCCAGGGCTGTTGCCCAGTAATTCCTGTTCTGGGTTCCACTTTGCTCTGATGCTCACAGTTCTTTGTAATAGGGAGAGAAACTCTGAACAACTTCAGTAGGTGTTCCTTGTGCCTCCCTATGATTTGCTTAAGTTAGCAGGTAGAAGTTTACCTGCACTGCTATTATGATTTCAGTGCTGAGAATCTTTGGAAATTTTCTCCTGAACAACGGGGACATGCACATGTGAGATCGATGACCCTTCAGTGATGATTATAAAGCTAATTTGCCAGTAGCATTTTCAAATTTGTACAATAAATATAAGGCCCAAGTGCCAAAATCTCAAAGTTTATTTCCTCAAATCTCTTCTACGATGATTTTGGGTCTAGTTCTCTTCAGGGGACCCTCTCCCATGGGACACCACTGTGCTCAGGAGAGGTCCCAGAAGACTGGAAGAAGGCCAATGTTGTGCCCATCTTCAAGAAGGGGAGGAGGGAGGACCCAGGGAACTATAAGCTGATCAGCCTGACCTGAATCCCAGGAAAAATCCTCGAAAAATTTATCAAGGAGCCCATATGTGACAAGCTATTAACGTGGGTAGGTCATGTCTGACTAACCTTTTGTAATACCTAGGGGGTAAAAAGAAGGTACCGGGTAATGTAGGGCCTCTGCAGGATACGCTAGGAAATCTAGTGGTCACACCAGACAACAAAGCTAACCTCTTTAACAATTTCTTTGCCTCCATCTTTTTGAGCAGGGACTGGGGCTTCCCCCCCACTGGGATCCTGATGGACCCAGGGGAGGCACTGCCAGGCCCAGGGTCAGTGAGGACCTAGTCAGGGAACTTCTGGTGGGACTAGACGTGTTCAAATCAGCAGGTGTTGACAATCTCCACCCCAGAGTGCTGAGGGAATTAGCAGAGGTCATTGTGGGACCCCGGCACAGCTTTATGAGCACTCATGGTGCTCTGGCGAGGTGCCGGAGGACTGGAAAAGGGCCAACGTGGTCCCCATTTTCAAAAAAGG